ACCGTCCCCCAACCTTTAACCGAACCCCCCGGGAAAATAGCCCCCCCCCTTTTTTCCTTTTTTTTTTTTCCCTTGAGTATTCAGAAAGGGGGCAATAGAAAGGAAATTTTGGAATTATTATTTTTTTTTCCCATTCCGGAAACCAAAGATTAGGAATGGCCATGAAATTTTTTTTTTAACCTTTTTTTTCCCATACCAAAATTTAATAGTTTCCCCCCCCCCCCCAATAGGTTTTTACATTTAGACCCAATCCCCCGTAACCGAACCCCCATGGGGAAAAGACCCCCCCCCCTTTATCCAACCCGTACCCCAACCCCTCCTGAAAAAATGGGGGCCATGGGCCCCCCCCCCCCCCTCTACCTCCCCCAGAGGATGAGGGTACAGTCCAAAGTAAGCCCAAGCTTACCTAAGGTTAATGCCTATTGGTACGGCATTAAAAAATATACTAAAGTCCCCCATTGGGCGGTGGAGGACTTAGAGTTAAGACACCCCAAAACTCTCCGGCGTGAGATCCAAAATGGATCGGACGCTGGAGGGGGGGGGGGTGCTCGTTGCTTGAAGTGGACCAATATAACATAGAGCCATCCAAGCAAAGCTTACTACTCACCTGAACGACCTGACCAACCACGCAAAAACTGCGGAGCTAGATGTGCGGCACGCACAATGAATTGTTTTCGATTGGAGAGAGGCGAGTACAAAGCAGTAAGGAATTGTTGGCCAAACTTTCGGCAGATAGGTCTACTCGGGAGCGTAAGTGGGGTAGCAACCCATGGTGGAGCGTACATGAGAAGCTGGACGTTGGTGTACGATCCATCCCGGCGTGTGAGTAGGATCTTAGGCTATGCAAGTCGTCCCTGAACTTATTGTGGTGAAAATGACCTCCCAGGAGGAAAGTAGCCTGTACCGCGGGACTTCGGAGATGACAAATTGGGTGGTCGGGGGACGTCTGGGTATTTACTAAGCAGAACGCCCGGCACAAGACTGGGGTACTTGTACCAGGAGGTGTGAACTTGGATCTAGACTACGAGCCCATGTTGGAGGCGCTATTTAGCGTCGGTGAGCCGGCAAAAGAACTGAAAGGAACCACAACCCCCACCGGACACTCGGATTGGGAAGGCCGAGTATTCCGTATACCTTCCTGAAAAAACACGAAAAACAAGTGGCCGCGGTCCAGTTGCTGTAGAGATCATGAGGATGGTGAAGAAGCCGGGAGGATGGAAGCAGAAACTGTGGCAGGGAGACAGGTTGGAGCTGCTGCTGTTTGGAATTCCAAGGGACATGACGAGGATAGAGTTCAAGAACTGTTGTGACACGGAGGGACTGCATTGCCTAGCAAGGGGAGAAGTAGGCAGAGAGCATGAACATTTCCGGGTGAAATTGACCAAGGGAGACAGCCAAGAGTGCTTGGGGGTTGACATCGAGAAGCTGTCGAAATACGTAAGGAAGTTTGGATGGAGGGTTTGCGTCGCGAACATGATAGGAACAGAGAAGGTAAGGCGACAGGAGGCGAGGGCGATAGAGGCGAAGAAGAGACCGGGCGGGGGAGACGAGCAGGCAAATCAGAAGAACGCCGAGAAGAAGCGGAAGGCGAAGGATAGAGTGCGCAAAATCTCCAATAGGGAAAAGCACAAGCTTAGAGTGGGGTCGTGGAACGTGTGCGGGTTCGCAAGGAGTGAGCGCAAGCGGTTGGAAATAGTGGACCAAGTAGAACAAAGCGATCTGGATGTAGTGGGGATCCAAGAGACGTGGGAACTGAAGGATGGGGACGTGGTAAGCAAAATAGGGAAGTACCGATGGGTAGGGAAGGCAAGAAAGGGCTTAGACCCGAAGAAAAGGGGGGAGGGGGGAGTCGGATTCCTGGTCAAGGAACACTTGTTTGACGTGGTGGAAGTAGTGGTGAAAACGGAGTTCGAGGAAAGCCTATGGCTTAAGATACCTGGGGAGCGGGGTGAGAAAGATTTGTTTCTAGGGAACGTATACGTCCCACCGTCGTCGAAGAAAGTCGCAAGCAAGGCGCAGGAGAACTTCGGACAAATTGGGGAAGATGTCCAGAGGTTCAGTAGGAAGGGAGAAGTTGTCATGGTGGGCGATTTCAACTCCAGAGTAGGGAAAGCTTGCAGTAGAGGACAGGCGATCGGGCAGCACGGAGAAGACAAAGTGAATGACAACGGAGTGAGGATGCTTGAATTCTTGGGAAGCAACGAGCTGATGGTGTTGAACGGTAGGAGGGAAAGCGATAAGCCAGAGTTCACCAGGCAGAGGGCAGTTTGCAATGAATACTCGATCCTCGACTACATCCTGGTAGATAGGGGGAGCACACAGGTCCCGGAGCTGCACGTAAGTGCGATAGATATAGGCTCGACCGACCATTTCCTCATATGGGCAAACATCGACCGATCTAGAAAGACGGAGAGTAAGAAAAAGAGGAAAGTGTTCCGGTGGAAAGTAGAGCGTTTGGGAGACGAGGGGACACGAGATGAATTCCAGAAGGGATTGGCTGGTAATGTAGAACCCTTCAGGAAACTGCTGAGAAGCGTCGAAGACGGAAAGGTAGACGTACAGGCAGCAGGGGACAGGGTGATTGAAGG